TATGGAAGGAGAGGAACCTTAAAGTTTTTGAAAATGGAGAGAATACCATAGAATAAATCAAAATGCGTTGTATTTTGACTTTATGTTTTTGGTGTAACCAGATATACTCTAATGTTATTGTCTCTATAATTGACGTCTTAGACTCATTATAAGGATAGGACAGTAGATTTTGAGATCTTTTGAAGATATGGTTTCAGTACAACCCATGTACTGTGTTACAGAAATAGAAACAGGTATCTACGTCAAAAGAAAAAGGAAATTTTCTTATGTACAAGGGATTGTTATGGGCGGTTGAAAGAGTTTGGTTAGGAATTTTCTATAGAATGCACAGCTGGAGGGTCTTGAAGAAAACACTGTTACTGCATCATGGATGAGGGTGAAAATGACTGGACACCTATGGATGGTATTTTTGGCTGACGATAGTCATGCAGTTGTAGAAGGAGAGAAAAGAAATGGAGACTTGGCCCATTCTGATTTTTCCTCACTTCACTTTGTCCTGCCTCACCTCTCCTCTGGAAGGCTCTCTCGCCCCGCCCTGCTCCCGCATAACATTTCCCATCCCGCCTCTCTTCACTCTGCTTGTACTAAGTAGTACTTTACCCTGCTTCAGTTCCATCGTATTTTCACATTCATTTTTTTTTTGGGAAAAGCAATGGTGTTCAGTCTTGCTAGTCTGGACATCACCACACTGGTTAGATTGGAGAAATAGAAACAGAAAAGCCAAGAGTTTGCTAAATGAAAAAGCATAGCAGCAGTAATTAATAGAAAGAAAATTTAAGAAGTTAAAGGATAAATACAAACTGAAAGGAACACAGTGGCCTTTGCCCAGTAAGTGTGAAAATTTTCCTCTTAAATTTGTATGTAACACTAGTTATAAAATCCTGTGCTCTGCATGGGCCCAATCACAGGTGAAAATATTGAAATTGATAGTTAACTTTTTTATGAATTTTAGATTGATAATACTTTCTCCATTCCAATTTATGTGTCAAAGTTGGAATTTTGAGAGTCAATCAAGTTTTTCTATGATAAAAATTATTTAGTCTTATAATATTTTAAGTTATTGTGATTTATAGTTCTTTTTACATAGTTTACAAATATATAAAGTTAATTTCAAAAAACTTCACGGTCGAAGTTTTGAGGTTTGAATCTTTAAATTACAATGTTGCCACATAAATTGAGACAGAGAGTATAAAATAAAGTCTATTTAACATTGTAGAAGTATAAATTTCGAATGTGTGATTTTGAAATCTTTAGGTAATGTTTGCAAGTGATAGGTTCTCCTACAAATACAATTACTTTAAAATTAATATGGTATTCTGTGAAAAACAGATATACGCACTAACATTTCAAGATTATATGTCAGTTCTAAAATCGAGATGGAGTTCTACTCTAAGTAATTAAAATATTAGGTGCAACCTTAAGTTCTTAACAATTATTTTCTAGTGAAATTCTAAACCTGCTTGGTTTGAGCGAAGTTTACATTATCCTTTTCCTTTTTAAAGGTTCATTTGTGCATCTATTTATGGTTAAAGTTTGTCTAGGTTTGTGAGTTGTACTGTCTTGTTGCGGAAAATCCAAAAACCTTTCAACACAACCCATGGCAGTAATACCAACTTTAATCACATTCACTGTTACAAAATTTAGTTGTTTCCTTCCACTTGATCATAAAGACTCTTCAAATTTCACTCCAAGTATTGTCAGAGGCTTTCAAGTTAATTCTCCCCCGAAAACCGGTGATAATCAAGCATACAAGACTCTTCAATTTAACTTTGATAACTCTGAATCAATGTCTCTCATATTGTATTCCTTGAATTTTCTTTTGAGACACCCTCAGCACAAAAGGCTGATTTAGTGAAGAATTTTCTTTTAACTTATAAAGGGCAGAGGATAAACTAAAGACACTTAAAGGATTACACATAATCGAGAATTATGTGCAAACAATAAACAGTAAGAAGACAAACGGTTGCACAACTATCATTAATATCCTCATATGTACATTTGCTATTTGTCTGCTAAAAGCTTCACATGTTGTATTGAAGATTGGGACTGAAGTTGGAAATGTCTGGAATACCCTTAACCTAAGCAGGCATGTTGACGTTGTGCCTGCTAACTCCCCTTTATAAGATAGTAGTAAATATCATTGGGTCGACTTCTCCAAAGACTTATTCCAGATCTTGCCCCCAAGGCTTTGATTAAACACTAAAGAAAGTACAATGCGGGATGTGTGGTAGGAGCACATCACGAGTTTGAATCCTACAGCTGAACAAAGCCTGATATTTAAGTGGGAGGAGAGTATAGAGGCACACCCATACTCTCTCGATTCTCAAACTTGTGTGCCAACCTAGAATGAGTCGGAAAAGAATTATTTCAAATCTTCTGCTGAAGTTTAAGTGGCAATCCATGTGGACATGAAGATGCAAAAATCTTGAAAACTAGGGGCACATCATGAATTAAACACAGATAGTAAAGAGAAAAATATGAAAATAAATGAAGGACATAAGAATTGATTTATTTCATTTGTTCTAGGCTTCTAGCATAAGAAACGAAAGTATTAAGTAATTCAGCATTACAACAATGATTCAGCATTCAATGTAGTTCCTCATCTTTAAGTGAGCATAACACTACACTACACATGTATTCTGTTAGGAAGCTCTCATTATTTCCTTCAAATTAAGCTCTTGCTAGAATCATGTTTAACTGGTTCTGGTTCTTGTTCAGACTCAAGTACAATTCAAGTATGCTACCTTTGGATCAATTGCTTAGGATGGGAATGGAAGGAATAAAAAGGAAAAATGGGTCTTAGAAGTCAACTATTTTTATTAGGGTCCTTCTCTTTCCTTCCCACTCCTTCAGACCATTGAACCCCTAATGTTATGCCTATTTGTGGACCAATGTGTACAATAGTTAATGTTGAGTGACAAGATAAAGTGGTAGCTGTGATGGACACATCAACGTGTTTTCATGGCATACATAATTCCTAGTTTGTGAATACTTATTAAGAATAACTGAATTTTGCTTGAAAAGTTTGTGTTATTTTATATAGCTCGCTAATACTCTAACTTGCACATCAACTATCATATTCCAGTGCTGAATCTAAATTAAAAATATGAACTGACAGAATAAAGGATGGCTTGGAGATATATCTAGATACAAAAGATAAAGTCTCCAAAAAACTTTTTCTGTTGCTAATTGATTAAATTTGAGTTGTAAACCTGAAATCGGTCATGCTTCTTGTTCTTGCTAGCAAGTTTCTTGTTACAACATTGAATGACTCTTATGAGAATATTTTTGAGCTCGCTGCATGTTTCAACTTTTTCTCTATTTTCAGTCTTCTGGAATCTGATAGTGAAGGTCATCGGAGAATGAGGTCCATGAATCATTTTTACAACATAAAACAGGCATTGCAATGGCTTGATAGCTTTAGGTTACCACATAATAGTCTATTGATAATTGTTTTCTTGATAACTCATTATAATTGGAAACGATTACCATCAAAATATTTAGGAGTCGCAAGTCATTTCGTTGTTGAAAGAAAAGAGAACCTTTTCTACTTTGTTGTTTTGTTGACATGTTAATCCGTCATATCTGTTTTTTTTCTGTAGGTATAGTTGTTACAGTGTTGCATATATTATGCGATCATGTTATTTTCACTCCAGCCTGTCCCTCCACGTACACAGTTCTGAGTCAGGAACATATTTTTTTTTTCTTCAAAAAAGAAACTTTTCTCATTATTATGTGATTGAATATCTGCTGCCTTGTTCCCGACTGTTTTAGCAGGTGTCCTTTATAAACTTACAACCATCCGAAGGCATCTGCAACCTATTTCTGGTCTCACAGAACCAACCATGTCATATGCCAACGTGGTTGTCGATAATTCTGTACAGTATATATTTAGTGTTACTTAATGGTTGATATGGAATTGTGCATGCTTCCTGTGGAAGAGGGACACAGTTATTCGTTTAGATATTTCATTACCTGTTTCCAGTGATATCCTCTATAGCTTCTGTAATGTATGACGTAACTTTGAGTGAGGATTGAAGAGTTCATTTACTTCCTATTTTGTCTCAAGAACTAATCACATGCTTTCTGAACGCAGGATCTCTATAGGAATATTTTACACAGCAACTTTCAAGAGGGTCACTTTTTGGCTGGTTCATCAGCTAATTTTATTGCTGGGTCTGCAGCTGGTTGTACAACATTGGTCATTATTTATCCACTAGATATTGCACATACACGACTCGCAGCTGACCTTGGTCGGTATGAAACTCGTCAGTTCCGTGGCATTTACCACTTTTTGAGGACAATACATGAGAAAGATGGAATTCGAGGCATTTACAGGGGGCTTCCTGCTTCTCTCCATGGAATGATTGTTCATAGAGGGCTTTACTTTGGAGGTTTTGACACCATAAAAGACAGGATGGCTGAAAATTCTGAGACAGAGGTGCCATTATGGAAACGCTGGTTTGTTGCTCAGGCAGTCACAACATCTGCTGGGCTGTTTTCCTATCCTTTAGATACAGTTCGGAGGCGAATGATGATGCAATCTGGCTTAGAAAAGCCAATGTACAGAAGCACATTTGATTGTTGGCGGAGGATTTACAAGACAGAAGGATTTACTTCATTTTACCGTGGAGCTCTGTCAAATATTTTCAGAAGTGCTGGTGCAGCAGCTGTTTTAGTGTTATATGATGAGGTCAAAAAGTTCATGAATTGGAGTGGATTATAGCAACAGGTGTTTCATGTCAAATTATATAATCATCATACAAATGGAATTAGGAGTACAAAGACCCAAATATGTTAGCCTTACTTTGTGGGGATGCATTTTGATAGCCTCAACAGTGACAAACATACAATGTTGTAAAACATGTCCTGATTCTTTGGATCACAATAAATATCACAACATTTTACAATCACAGCCTGAGCACTTTGCAGTTCTGTTACATCTCCAGTGTACTTTTTTCGTGCAAATATTGAGTTCCGTATGGAAACAATAACAGAAATACAGTATCCAATATTAGAAATTCAAAATTGCAAGCTCATAACCCAGCTTGTTCAAAAATATACAGTCAAATCTATTTTAGACAAAACATACAAGACAAATAAACAATAAACAAATAAATAAATAAAATCTATAAATTTAGCAAATGGTTTCCGCAATACAATCACAACAGAGGTTCAATTCAGCGTCTGAGACCTCTTACTGTCCTCTAGTTTCTTCACTGCCATCCTGCAATTACCATAAGCGAAGGAGGGTGTTAATTGGACTAAGAGAAGGAAAGATAACAAGAATATGATGCAAAATTCAAATCTACTGTACTTTTATCTGGCATACAATCATTATAATGCTAAAGCAATGCAAGGAATATGAACTAACATCCAGATTTAGCAAGCAACATTCGCGAACAATCACTCAAATAGCTGTAAGGTCAAACATCTACTGAAGCTACATTTCAGTTGTATACTTTTATGCAAGTGTTTCAACTTTAAATGCTGAGGATATCTTTCTTTCTTTCTCTCCACGAGCGAAGGACAAGGACTATTGTACCTTAATGCTTTTCTTTAACATTTTCTTCATTGCCTTTCTCATCCTCATTCTCATCATCCTCTTCTTCATCATTCTCTTCCACATAATCTTCCTCTTCCTCGTCATCATCACCTTCTTCTTCGTCGTCATCAATGGGAACGGCCTCTCCAGTAAACCAAGACACAGCATGAGGAATAATCTTTTCTCGAATGGTGGACCTGCAATAGCAAATCACTAGAACTGCTCAAGAGATTTGTAATGTAGCATTCTACCTCAATGAATACAATAGCATCTCTCCGAAAGGCTTAGCATTGCAGAAAGCCACTTTATCAAGAATAGCAAAGTTGACGAGATTGTAACTACAGTCTAAGTTGAGACCATGCTTTTCATGTCATATTCAATTTTTCGTCTACCTAACAACTGTTAAGCCACTCCATTTTTTAGAGAGTTTTTAGTACATGAGGACTTACCCAATCTCATAATCTTGTTCCATCTGACCTTGAAGCAATTCAGCCTTGGAAACATAACACAAAAAAGTAAAGCCAATTAGCAGGCACAAATGGAAAGCAACTTACATGTTGATGTGATTTGTTCACTAAAGCCACTTACAGTTTCCTCATCAAGTTCTTCTGCATCCTCAGGTAGTTGAGGTGGATCAAAAAAATGAAAGAAACTTTCACATTCCTCAGTTTTTATGATTAGCTTCGTATCGTTGGATCCTTTCTTTGGCTTCTTCTTTAGGATCTTCTGTGTCAAACATTTCCCCAGAAACCATTCTATCTCTGTCCTAAAGGTATTAAAGAAAGACGTGCATTTAGAAGGAAGTAACTCAATTTCATAACATCGAAATAAAAATGTAGTTGTACCCTATTGCATTCTCTAGAATATGTTCATCTTCGCTGATCATGTGATACGTCTTTGTCAGCACATTGTTGCTGAAATAGGGATTTGTCTCAAAAAAGAACTCAAGCTTAAAACCATTGGCATCATCAAGTCTATTCCATTTGATATCTTTGAGATACTGGAGGGCATCTTCATCTTTCTCAGTAATCTGAACAGACGAAATATAAGCAGACTTATCAATCAGTGTGACAAGTTATATAGCAAAAGATCAAATGAAAGAATAAACTCATATTACCTCTTTCGCGATTATTTCATTATTTTTCATTGCCAACAACCAGAAATGGGGAATACCTTTATCTGAATGCAAGATTCATTTCTTATCACAAACAGCACAGAAAGCTCGAAAAACATATTGACTTAAAACATGATAGCCTTGAAAGAATACCTCCTGCTGATTCATTTGTTTCTTCTCCTACTGTACTTTCATCTCCAGCTTCACCCACGCCATTCACAATCTCACATCGCTGCAAATGCACCAAAAAATATGTTATAGAAACTATACATATATATGCACACTACACACACATACACATTACCTTGTTGTAAAGTGGCTCATACAACTTGTGGAACTTTGCTTCCAGAGCTGCCTTCTCCTCAAGGTACTGTGCCTCTAATTCATTATATTGGCTCTGCATAAATCATATTAGAATTGAAAAGGAAAACAAAAATTTTACTCAAATCAAAGCAATAAAAGAGTAGAAAACAGCATAAAACTAAACGAATCTTGATTGTGTCAACATTAACTATAGTCTAACTTAATTAGTAATCAAATTGAACTCAATCAGATGATGCTAATAAAGGTTAAAATCAATGTAATATACTAATGTACTTATTGCATTGGTAAAGAAGGGAAATAACAACTAGATCAATCTTACTATAAACAACTTGTTGTGCAACATAGAGTGAGTAAAACCTGAATATCTCTGAGGACATCAACACGCATCCTAATGTTTTTCGGAAATTTATCGAGAAAAGCAGAGTGATCCCTTGTCAAATCATGAAGCTTATTCTGCAACATATTTAACCAAAATTCAAAAATGAATCCAAATGACTAATGACTTTTGTGGTTCAAGTAGGCAGGCACCTTGATGGCATTGACAAGATCTGCACGATCCTCAGCAGAGAGAGCTAAAACAACAACAGAGAAAACAATCAAAATGTGAAAGAAAGGATCCAATTTTAATTTATTTCATTTCATACCAATAGTGGCATCAGCTGTGTTGACCTGATCACTCATACTTGGATATGTATTGTGCAAGATCAATTGAAACGATTCAAATAGAGATCAAATGAAAATTGTTGGCTTTGTTTGTGGTGGCAGTGTAATTAGATATGTAATGATTTGTGTCTCAGTTGACTCCTGCCAGCACACTTGGACTGTCAACTATTCATCTTTTTACTACACTAAATTTCCATCTTAACTATAGGGAAAATGATAGAGGAGACAAAGTCATGAACGTGATTAGCCAAGTTTCAAGTGTGTTTGGTAGGAAAGAAAAATGTTTTCCATACAAAATGTGTTCTCGAAAAATAAGTATATTCTTTTTAAGGATAATGTACGAGTATTCTTCAACTCATGCCCGAAATCTCACATACACAATTATTCTATTATACTATACTAAGGTCTTATTAGGTTGAGCGGGTATTTGAGCATTTTCTTTTTTTTTTTACTTTTATCATGTTTGGTCGGTGAGTATAAAATATTTTATGGAAAAGATTTTTTAGTGTTTGATTTATTAATGAAAAATATTTTTGAGAAAATTTGAAATTGCAAATAAAATATTTTGAAATTGGAATTTTTTTTTTTAAAAAAAAAACAAACTTTAATTTTATGTTTTTTTGGGGAGGGGGGAGCGTTGGTAGTGGGGCTGGCCCGGGGTGGGCGGGTGAAAAATAAAAATTTGAAATTGAAAGTATTTTTAAAAATAAATTTTAATTTTTTTTTGGAGGGGTTGGGGAGGGTCAAGGTAGTGGTGGGTGAAAAATAAAAATTTGAAATTGAAAGTAATTTTAAAAAATAAATTTAGTTTAATTTTTTTTTGGGGGGGGGGGGGGGTTAGTGGGGCGAAAAGAATAAAAAATTGAAACTGAAAAAATAAAATAAACTTTAAAAAATTGAGGGGGTTAGTGGCGCGAAAAAATAAAAAATAAAAAAAATTTTAATAAATAAACTTTAAAAAAATTGAGGGGTTGGGGGTGGGTAGGGGACTAGCAGGAGGAGTGGTGGTAGGGAGTTGGCAGGAGGGGGTGGTCGGGGTGAGGGCAAGGCAAAAAACTAAAAGAAATTGAAGTTGAAAAATATTTTTCATATAAGCTTTAAATTTATACGACAAAAAAGTGTAATTTAAAGTTGGAAGAAAGTTTTGAAAAATGTATTCCTTCATTTTGAAAGGGAATTTATTTTTTTTAAATTTGAGGAAATGAGTTAATTTGAATAACATTTTACCCAACCAAACATGAGAAAATTGAAGAACATTTTCCTTCCTACCAAATACACCCTCAATTGTGAATTTGGTGAAGAAGAAAAAAGGAAGAAGTTGTGAATTTTAATTGGTTTCCTACTTTGGATGGTTGTTATCTATGATATTATAATTTTATTGTTAGTTTAAAAATTCGTTTGGCTATGCGATATGGTATCATGATATGGAATCATTAGATGAAGTTAAAATTTTATTTAGACGTGCGATATGAAATTTTTGAGTTGTATATTTTCTCATAAACATAAAAATCTTATAAGTTGTAAAACTATTAAAATAGTCTTATTCAATCTTATCAAATAAACAAAAAATTATAAAATCGCATAATAAATTATTAAAAAGTTATTTGTTCTCCACTTAAGTAATTGTTTCATCTAACTTTAATTTAATACATAAATTGTGTGTAGTAGTCTTTAATATATTCCTCCCATATAGTACGGACAATTTCCTCGCGTTGAACTTGCATTTTGCGATTATGTAACCGAGAAGACGAACCAACATTGTTACTTTGAGTCATTTAATTTGTTGTCAGCATCATCCGCAACTATATTTTCATGCTCATAGACCATAAATATTTTATCACTTTAACAATCGGTTGTGTGAGTTTAAAGTAAATATATGTTGTTGACTGGTGAGAATAATAAATTTTAAAAAGTAATGATGTGATTATAAATTTTATTTACATATGAAATAAATGGTTAGTAGATATAAATGTGGGCTGTTTTAACAAAATATAAAGTTGTGGATCAATTTTTGTACTAAAATATCTCAAATCATGATATATTTGTGTTCTACATAACGTCCTACGTATATCATGACATGTAGTACACGTGTGTCTACTTGTTTAAATTTATACAAGTTTAAGTGTCTACTTGGCCTAAGTTAAGGGTCATATTTATGTATTATGCCTATCAAAAACACACATAAACTATCACCTTTTTTGAGTTTCATATCTAAATTATTGAGAGTGAATTTTATACTTAAATTATCACTTTTTAGTGTAAGAAACACATGTACGTACATTAATAGAATTTTTTTTTCTAAATATATATACGTACACATCTAACAAAAAATGAAAAAAATGTAGTAAAAAAAGATTAAGAGAGAAGAGTTACATAGGATGTGACAAAATTTCTATTTATTTAGAAGTAAAGGGAAAATATATATAAACAAAAAAAAACATGAACTTGGCAGGAGAACTTATTTTAGCACTTGAACTAGACGGATGTCTAAATACCCCTTAAACATCTTTCAACTGAATTAATTACCACCTTATATATACAAAACCAGTCTCATGGATATTGGAAGGTGATATACACACACGACACATAAGCACCACCTTATTGACACTTTAACAACACATCATATAATGAAGAATTTAGTTATTTCATTTTTTTTGCTAATCAACATGGTTAATTGAAAATACAATTGTATAAAAGAAAAAAAAGGCAAAAATAAAAGAAAAGAAGTTGAATGAGCAAAAAGAAACTGGTCCAAGAATGAGTAATTTTTCGACCGTAGGAGATTTCAGTTATCTTTTGGAAGCAGGTACCTTTTTTTATTAAATGTGTTTTATATTCATAATCAATTTGTAAAACATACAAAAATAGAAAAATGTTTTTATAAAAATTAGAATTGTGAATAACATTATGTGTGCTATATGAATTTCATGCTTTCTCTTTTCGAGTCAGTGAAGGCCAGTCGTGACTGTTTCAACAACAATCGCCGGAGTTATTGTAGTCATATTAGGCTAAAAAAGGACAAATCTGAAGGTTTTCAAACCTTTCACATGTCGACAGAGGTTCGCCTGAAAAATTAAAATTAAGAAAACACATAAAAAAAAGAGGAAGAATGGAAGAAAGTCGTGGAAGAGCATACGTCCAGCGTTTTAACCATGGGTGCCATCGTGAAGAATTTTTTTTAGCGAGATTTGATGGTCTCACGATGACTGATCTCTCGCGAAGCTTTAATGAAGGAGAAATAGAAGGAGTTGGCCGATAGGGTGAAGTCCGTCCTGGTTGAGCCTCACTGAATTGCTACCTCGTGATCTCCATTAAGAACGTCTTAGGCCGGCCAAGGTCGCAAAAACTTTTGATGATTTACGCGCGAATAACTTTTTTGTTTGTCATGTCAACCGCTAAGGTGGTGTTTAATTCAGTTGAAAGATGTTTAAGGAGGTTTCCGCATAGTTTAAATGCTAAAGTAAATCTTTCTTCCAAGTTAGGGGAGGGGGGGTTTATGTATTTTCTCGAAATAAAATAATATCAATTATTTTAGGGGTTAGGGGGAGGGGATGAGTGGGTGGTTTTTTTTTTTTTTTTAGAATTGTACGAGGCAGTAGGTTGGGGTAACAAAAATAATTTAAATTTTATTTTTTAAGAAAAATATTTTTTATAGATAGTATTACTTTAATTTTTAATTAATATGAATAGTTTATTATTGTTAAAGTGGAATATTTTATTCATGTGAAAAGTTATGTGTCAAGGCTTTTTTCGAATAAAAGATAGAGTGCATTACACACATCACTGAAGTATGTTTCTCAAACTAAAAAGTGATAGTTTAGTTATAAAACTCATACACTCAATAGTTTAGATATGAAACTAAAAAAAAGGAAAAATTTAGGTATGTTTTTGAGTCTTATCTCTTATTATTTTTACATTTAACAACATGAAAATAAAAAAACTTTCAAGTATTCAATTAATCAATTTATGGTTGCTTAATTACTTTTTTTTTGTCTCCGACAATTTATTCTATTTATTTTATCTCTTACTTTTATTTAATATATTATTTCCTGAATATCTATTTATATTATTTTTTTAATTAATTTTTGTATAATGAATAAAATAAGAGAAGTATGTAGAAGTGTTAGAAATTGTACTATAAGTAGTAGTGGTAGTAAAAACAATGGGAAAAGTGATGGATTTACTCACAAACTTTAATAAATGGTACGTCTATGTCCTCCGTTATACTTTGCATAATCGTCTAGTTATAGATATAAATATACCCCTCTCACTAACTTATCCTTATTCTTTTACACGTGTTTTAATTCTATTAAACTATCCGTTTGACCTCTTTTTTTAACCCATAACCCAACTATTCGCCCCATAACACATAACCCACCCAATACACACTAAAAGGAATCCTAATTAAAACACCCAAATTAACATTCACCCAAATATCTCACACACCAACTAAATATCTCTTAAACTTTTTCATAATTTTTATCTTTTAATATATTTATTTCATGTTTGAAAGTTAGAATTTTTAATGATCTAATAAAAATTATAGTCCATACATGTTGGTAATTATAATAAAATTTAAATAAAAATCAAATTAATACTAATGCAAACAGAAACTCAATTTAACACTAAGAATGACGATAATATTGAATATTTATTTTTTAGTTTTACATAGATTTAGACAGTTAAAATACATGATCTAATTTTACTTTCTTTTAATATTTTGTCATGTAACTAATACTTACTAAACTTATTTTAGCATGATTTAATACTTTAAATTATGATCAATATCATTATGACTTATTAATTTGCAATATTTGTTTTACTCGATTTTTTTTTTGTTGGATATTTTAGTGTCATTAATCATATCACATTTTTTGTTATTTTCTTGAGAAATAACTTAGATAGTTGCATTTTGATGTCACTACAGAAATATTTGAAGTACAAGTAAATTATATGTTTGTATGAATATTTATTTAGAAAATCCAAAAATCTGAAAAATCCAAAAAAATCCAAATTTGAAAAACCCGAGTTTTATTGATCTGGTTTGGTTTATAAATTCAAAAGTTCGACCCAAATAATTTGATTTGATATTTGAAAACTCGAATCAACCAGGTCATGTACACCCCTACTTATGGTATATAAGAAGAAAATGAAGTAGAGATAGACTTAGATAATAATAATAATAATAATAATAATAATAATAATAATAATAATAATAATAATAATAATAATGTTATATACACCCATTAGCTAGTCCTGTTATTGCTCATGCTCGGTCTCAAGCCCATAATCTTCCTCCGTGGCGTAAAAAACTCTAAAAAAAGTAGTGTGGAATTATTTTATTTTAATATAAAGAAAAACTATAACTAAATATGATATATGTCAAAATTAATATGAGCATAAGATCAGAGGTAATGTCTCTGTGATAGTTCACTTGATCATATATTTGATGCTAATCATAGGGGATAGAGAGAGCAACTAAAAAAAAGGTAGGATATCAACTAGATTCAACCTATACACCGATAAATAATTAAAATCTATAGCCAAATGAAAAATCGTGAAAACTTAGCGAAAATGACATCTTTTCACATTTACTTATTTTGATGCATTTATTATATATATATATATATATATATATATATATATTCATGGTTCCTCACTACTAGAAATTTGACTTACTGCAATGCTTATTTAGCAACGGTTATATCATCGTAGCAATAGCTCACCTATTACAACGGTTATAATCGTGGCCAAATATCCTTGAATCTAATAGAACAATTCTTAAAATAAACTGTTGTATAATCCCTATAACCGTCCCTATAGAGAATGTATAGCAACAAGTTTTAAAACCGTCGCTATAGATAACTCTATGGCAACAGTTTTTTAGAAAAATAATTCTAATTTTTTAGCCCTAAATAATTTTCCCTCCTAAAAAAATAATTCTGATAAATTAACTTTTTAAAAAATGTAAAAGAAAAAGAAGAAATTGTTTTCAGAAACCCTTATTTTTTCAGAAACAATGTGACAGAGCCTTTTTTGGGTGAAGCTGCATGTGAAAGGAATTTCTGAAGATTTTGGTGAGAAAAACGAAATTTGTTGGTGAAGCTGTTGGTGAAGCTCGTTGGTGAAGTTCGTTGGTGAAGCTGTTGGTGAAGCTCGTTGGTGAAGAGTTGTTGGTGAAGTTGTTGGTGTCGTAGGTGAAGCTCGTAGGTGAATCTGTTGCTAAAGCTCGGTGGTGAAGCTATTGCTGAAGCTCGTCGAGGAAAACAACCAGCTCGTTCTTTTTGGTGATGCTTTTGAGGTTCGACTACGAATTCATCTTAAAGGTTAATAATGCTTAAGTTTTCTATGCTAGTTCATGATTTCTAAGTCCCTATTGAATTAATTTTGAAAAATCTTAAAGAATAATGTATGGGTTAGTCTTAAATCTATGTTATTTGTTCCAATATAGTTAGTGTATAAACTTCCCCTGTTTGATTCTGTGATATATTAGAGAGTCGAAATCTAGTGCTCCAAGTTTGTGGATCTGTAAGTATTTCTCTCTGCATTTTTTTTGTTCCAGATGAATCTTCCTTAATATTCCCCATTTGATGTGAATCTGGACAAAAATTACTCCCAAATTACTTCCTACTGGTATCTGTTTCACTTTTTGTTAACTGATATAGCTTAAGCTAGTTCGTTTTTGAAAAACTCTCTTGTCCTTTGACTGACTACAAACCTTGATGTAAATATTGTAGTTGTGTGACCCTGTGTTCTCTCCTCTGTTTTTTGGTATTCATATTGCTGATATCAACTTGTTCCGGATTAAGGCTTAGTTATCTTCAATTTTGTTTTTGATTATTAAGAGATGTTTAAACTTGAGTATCACTGTCGTTTTACTTTGAAATACATTCGGATTCTGATATTGTCTATGTCTTTTGCTTGTTCAATTGAATGTTATCTTCCCTTATGAGTCACTGCCAGCATAAACTGTGACACATAATGCACTTCTGACAATATCATTAAGCCTTTCATCTGCAAATATTTCCGTTAGTCAAACTATGGCATGCTACAAGCACAAAATAAGAAATGATAAATGTTGTATGCATTAACATTTACCTGGTGTTACATAATCAGAGAGACCGAAGTCAATGACTTTTAAAGGAGAGTTCTCATCCTTAGAAACGAAAAGAAAATTCTGATAGAACAAAAGAACAACTGTCAATATAATGAGCTTGGAAACCAAGCATACGAAACATAGAGTGACGTAAGAAAGAAATGACACTACATTTGTTCACATATATGGTGGGATTAGAAGAAATCCTGAAAATTTCTATTAGATACCGTAAGAAAACATGCAGATCATAACTAATTTCTTCAATGGTCTGTCCGAGACACAAACCTCCGTAAGAATTTTCTTTTGGTTGAGCTGATTTAACTCTCTCAATACTTTACAGGGGCTTATGCAAAATTGTAATTGGGTTGTCAGAATTCATCATGTGATATTATGTTACCAAATAACTGATGAATGATCTTTTAATCACAGAATTAGTTGGGCAGGATCCTAGGTATCCATAATGAAATTGCACCTATAAAATAGAAATACTCACTCCGTCTACTGTGAACTTGTTGCACATGATTTATATATCAGTTATTAAGTTTTTTTTTAAATCATATCAGTTATTAAGTTGAGAGTCATATAACTACTATGATGACGATGCTTTGAGTGTTGTCTTTTTATACTTGAGGTTATTAATCATGCAGCATGCTATTGTTCTTGCATTCATGCTCTTAATGTCAATCAACAAAATTTGTGCAAACTAGTAAACTTCACTCTATTCCTTAGGTTCATTCAGAAGTTCTAAACATAAGTAGAGTGTTCATTGCAAATGAATATTTGAGTGTTATATGTAGATTAAAAATAACTCCATTACCTCAGGCTTTAGGTCGCGATGAACAACCCGTTGAAGATGACAATACGAGACCACGCTTAGAAGTTGTACCATGACAGCTTTGGCATCGTCTTCCGAGTATTTCCCACCCCTTCAAAAGAAACTGGAGTCGGGAAATTCACATAGGAGAATACCAAGCATGCTAAGCTGAAAATATTTTAAGTACCCACCTTGCAAGTATCCGGTCCAGCAATTCTCCTCCTTTACATAACCTGAAGAAGATCTCACAAAGATAAGTACAAACAAATGCAGAAAACATAAAATACAAAAATGATAAACTAAATAGATTTCTCTTATGATAATGCGACAAGCCATGCAAACATTTGGAAGGACGTAGACCAAATAAGACAAATTCTTTTATGTTAGAATGCTGAAGAATGACAAGTTACTCTGAAACACAACTAAAAGCAGCATTAAGGTTGACAATTTCAACTTACTCCATGACTATATAAACATTTTCCTCGTCCTCATAGGCATCATAGAATTGAACCAGATTCCTATGTCCTGTTAAAGCGCGCAATATTTTTACTTCTCTCCTTACATCCTCAATTGCAATTGTTGTAGTCATCTGCAAAAGATTCCTCAGTCTCATTAAACAAAGAAATAATACAATCAGGTGATACTGCTCTTGGCATGAAAATATAGTCCTTGTCTTTGTGCCACTGTTTTTTTTTTGTATGTGTGATTCAAAAAAAGAAATTTTTTGATGGAGTTTTCTAAGCTAAGCTACTTATCTTGGACTTATATCTCTTATATTTTTTCCTCTCTTTGGCTTGGTTTCCTAATAATATTGTGTGATTATGTTATTTATAGGCTTGGCTGATACAGACCCTAAGGTAACACTTCAGAATTTTTGAAGTAGTTCGTTTGGAACCCGAGAAGGCTGATTGGTAAGAAATTGAAAGTAATAAAATTTTTCTGCTATATGGTAGCTAGTTGTTAGATTGAAACTCCCTTGCGTTTTTTTATAAAGAGAATATGATTATGGTTTGTCCGAACTACTTTTTCCATGTGAACAATCAACTTTGTTATTGTTTTACGAATACATGAACTGTTTTGCTAGAATCAAAACTAATGTATTGATAGTTATTTTGTTTACTTGTTGCAGTCTATTGCTATAATGTATGTTATTTACTCTAATCTAGGTTTGCCCTTATTGCTTTGAAATGTGTTTGCGTGTACCTTTTGTCATTCATTTGTATAAAGTTTATTAAATGGTGGAAGCTGCTAATAACTTAACTTCTCAATATTTTTTGGTTCTACTATTAGTGTTGTAATTGTTTGTTGTTGAATTGATGTGAAAGTTTGAGATTCGATTAATCTAAAAGTTCGAGTTGTTAAGTTCTGCCGATATTATTTGTACGCATGAATTTATTGGCTTTAATGTTTTGCACACGTCATGTAGGATAAATATTCAATGGATTTTGGAGATAAAAGTTGGATGAATCTCCGAAGATCCACCAATGAATATATTGATGGAGTTAATGATTTTCTTGATAAAGCATTTGAACGAGCTTCCCAAAGAAATGAAAAGATTTGTATATTTTGCTTTAATTGATATTAGAATCACGGATCTTGAATTCTAATTAAGGTAATGAACATTTATTCTCGTTAACGATTTATGTGTATTTTTATGTTATAAAATTGATTCTCATGAATGATTTAGTATATATATAGCAGGTATACATTAGCTTACTAATATTGCATTAGAATTGTTGCAAATAGCAGGTAATAACCGTTGCAATATGCATTAAGCCACAGTTCTACAATTGTTTGAAAGTGTTGCAATACCCTATAACAACCGTCGCAATAGAGTGAAAACGGTGTGTTGAATCGAAAAAACACTGTAGCCATAGCCTTAACAGAACTGATGCATAAACCTTTATTACGACGGTTAAAAATCGTACCAATACGTCCATAACCGTTGGCAATTAATTCAAATGAGAACCGTGACAATAGCTCAACGTATGGCTACGGTTATGTGAACTGTCGCACAGAACCGTAACAATATCTCTATTGCTACGCGATCTGTTGTAGCGGTTGTTGTAACCGTAGCCTTAGACCTATGACTACGATAGTAACGTTAATTGCAACAATAGGTGAACCGTGACAATAGATCAAATTTCTAGTAGTGCCTAGAAGTACATGTCTATTAGATATGATCATAATGTTCCGTTACTTGATAATGTTGCACTGATTCATATTTACTTATTTCATCCTTGGGTCGAGACCATCAAAATAAAGTGTACATGTCCATGGTGTAATAAAATTATTTGTTTGATTTAGACTATAGCCTACAACCTATAAGACATAAATTATTCCTCTATAAATTTAATTATTATTTGAGATAGGCCCCCAGGGTCCTCCAAATTAATTTAGCATGTTGGATTGATGAAGGAACAACTACAGAATATCTTAAGTAGTAACTTGTATATATTGTAAGTTGTAAATTATATATCTTCAATATGTTGTGGTGTATATTTATGAATATCTTATATTTATATTGTTTGTATTTTTTTAATATCTTGATTCAAATTCAAATTTAATTTCAAATTTAACATTGCACTGCAAAATTTTTAAATACTTAAATCATATTATTCCATGAATGATAAAAGTAATTGAAAGTTGAATTTAGAGTAATAGATAAAAACTAAGTGGAAAAGTATGAACTTTTAACCTTCAAATTTAAATTTCAACTTTCAACTTTGAAATATTTGATCATTTAACTTTCAAACTTTAATTTCACAATGGTTATAAGAATCTTAGAATAAAAGTGATAACACTACACTACATGATTGAATTTGAAATATCAAATCTATAATGATTACAGTTACTTCAAATTAAAATTGATAACACAAACTACATGATTAGAACTCAATTTAATTCAAGTTAGAAAACAAATATTTCGCTGGCCCACAAATCCGTTCTATTTGAAGCCCACCACTCAAATCCAGCCAGGAACCGATATAGATTGCGTAAATATTTGAAAGGTCGGATCAGACCGGATCGGCCTATGTAAAATTCACAACTATTCTATATAATAATAATATATTTAATAAAATGGGCTCAAAGTTATTTAGTTATACATGCATGTACAGATGTTTGAACTATTTGTATATCCAACTTTTTAATTGCACCGATAAATTTAATCGTAAGAATTGAACATCAATCACGTTTCGGGATCCGATGGACCCCTATCTGACAGTGGGGGGCGGCTTTTAATTTAAGTAGAGAACAATCAATATCAAATTAAAAGGTTCAACATAAAGATTGGTTATTTTCACGTCCAAGAGACAATTTCTAACATCAATCATGACGATTGACGAGTACATTAAATTTTCCTTCATAAATGGCTAGGCAAAAAATAAATGTGTCATATTATGTGGCACACAATGTACCTTAAATGGTTGCATTTATGTACTCAACTATTTATGACTACATTTATATGTTTATATCTTAATAGTGGAGTATTTTCAAAGTAAGCCATTAAATATTTTCTAGATCACCTGATGACTACATTAAAATTTCTACTGATGTTTGGTATATTGCACATCAAGCAGCTGTCTGACCCTCTCGACATTATATGTAAGCTAAAAAAAATTTCTTTTTATACAACAATAATAATAATGTATCTAGTGAAATCTTACAAATAATGTCTAGAGAGGATAGAAAACACACACATCTTTTTCACTACCTCATGGAAGTAAAAAAGCTAATTTCGGAAGATCTTCGTGTCAATTGTAACAAATTATGGTACAATAAAGAAGTAGATTATACAAAGAATTGAAACAAAGTAGCCAAAACAGCACTAAACTCATGTGATTTTATGTATATTATACATTCACTTGTCATCAAATTTAAGAAACAAAGACTTTAAAACTTGTGGTAAAAAGCAAGTAATTTCTGTGAGTATAAATTATTTCATTAATAATAAAATTAACAGTTTAAATTAAAAGTATAATGTGTTAGATTGACTAAAAGAAAAAGTACGTCAGATAAATTGAAAGGAAGATAGTATTATATCATACCCCTCCGCCCATCTTTACTTGTCCACTATACACTAAAAACAGATGTCCAACAATAATATTTGTATAGTTTAAAAAATTAATAAATTATTTATCCATTTGCACCCATTTCGTCGGTGTTGTATTAGATACTATCAATACCTAATACATTTTTCAAAGCATTAAATTTAATATATCCAAAAGGTAATATAATTAGGGTGGTTTTATATTCTCTTCAAGTAACAAGGTCTAGTTTTTTTTTTTCTATGTTGGATGTTTGCCCCAATTGCATTGTTTGAGTGAAGATGAAACTTCAAAAAATTTCTTATTTTCCGCAATATTACAAATGTTATCAGATTTTGGTGCGTATTTTGAGATACGTGGATCAAAGTTAAATGTAATTTTGATAAGATTTTCTTTGTTTCAGAAGATAAGTCCTTTGAAGTTACAATTATTAGTGATGATTTTTCCAGATGATTTTCCATTATAGAACGCAACAAGAGTTTCTCAAGCAACATCAAAATAGATGAAGATAACCTAAGATGGGTCTGCGATAATCTCAAACAAGCTTCCAGGGGTGCAGGGGATCTTTATAGGAGATGGGGGCGAAAACAACAAGCACATCTTCTTAGAGTGTATCAGAATTACAATGTTTATGGGAGATTTGTAAGAATCGACTTGGTCGGGCCTGAAGAAATCGTCTGTTATAATTCCAGAAGCTGGATATAATTGAGGTTGGATAGACATTGCAAATAAAATTCTGAACTTTTTGGGTAAGCGGAGGTTCCCCAAAATTCTTATTCCATCGGCACCTCAGTTGAGAACGTACTCCGATGTAACAAGTTATCGAGTTGGCCAACATCGAGTTCAAATAACGATGTTGATATCTCCCATACTCTGAGCAAATGCCTTGTTGGTGTCTTCAACGATCCCTTCAACCAGAGCCCTAACTCCAAAGTGATCCAGAAATGGTTCATCAATAGGTGGAAAATCACTGCAGGCCTCAAAGTCATTCCCTTAGCAGATAATCAATTTTTGTTTGAATTTCCTTCGAGACAAGAAGCGGTCACATCAAACCCGGTGATTGGTTCTGGAATGGTAGGCGTCTATCACTCGCTTGGTGGTCTCCGACGATCGAAAACTCCCCTGTGAAGTTGGAGCACAAATGGATAAAAGCTTTTGGAATTCCTTTGCATGCTTGGTCTTCAGAAACCTTTCGTAAGATAGGTGATTTTTGTGGGGGGTTTGTCGGAACTGATGAGGACACAAAGAATAGGACACACTTTTACTGGGTTCGAATTTGTGTCGCTTAAACAGATACAGTTACACCGAACAAAATTGAGTAGTTGATTGGAGATGTAAAATTTGTAATCTCATTTTAGAAGATGTACTCTCCACCATCTCCACCGGTGTAGAAGTTGTTGTGACCGAAAAAGGGAAAGAGAAGACCTCTGCCATATCCTCATCGAGCCACAAGAAAGATCCTGTTGTCAAATCAGTTAGTGACCACGTGGGTATGAACTTTAATTCACATTCATCGC